AGAATGGAGGGTTAGGACAGTTAGCTGTTACCACAGATTTTGGGTTTGTTTCTTGTTTTGTTTTTAGATTTTTGCCACAGGGTGCCATGTGCTCACCAGTGAGTGGAGAAGTGAGAAATCACCTCCCAGAGGGATGATCATGTTACATTCCCTTCTCCATTGTCCTCTTGGGATTTTGGGTACAGATGTACAGATGCCTGGTATGTTTTCCAAGATGCCAGTCCAAGACTCAAAATGTAGAGTCAGCTGTGTGGGATCCAGTGTCTTAACCACCACAAAGGATGATTTGTGATAGAGCCAGTATTTTAATTCTGGAACTACTTTTTAAAAATCTAAAATCCATGTTTTGTTTTTGTCTTTGTTTTTGTTTTGTTAAAACCATGTAATAGGTTTCTAAAGGCAGACAATAGATTATTTTCAATGATTTTTTGACAAGATTTTTGGAAAGATTTTAGTGATTGTATTATATATTCTACATCTATATTACATTAATGTTTTCTGGTCTTTTGTTTTGTTTTTATGCAAGAGGGCACATATATGTGCATGAGGGAGAGAGTGAATATCCCCAAACGGGCTAGCCACACCACAGTTCTTTTTCTACCAGTTCTCCATCCTGTCAGGATCCTGGGCATGTGCAGATGTTCCTTGTGTGTTTTTCAAGTTGGCCAGATGGACTCAAACCTTGGTCGGCCCTGTATTATCTGGCTTCCTCTGTGCAGTACCTGACTGCTGCACTATGAGCTGGCTCTTTAACCTTTTTTGTAACCCATAATTTCTCTTAACAAATGTAAAAATTACTCCATCGTTACTTTAAAATTCTCGGTAATGTTAGTATTGGGTCATTGGAAAACTCATGACATATTTTTCTATGTTTTTCCCTTTTTGTTTGAACAATTATTTTATTTTATTCATCATTGTGATTATTTAATTTGGCCAGAGAGAGACAGAGAGAGGGAATATTAGAAAGCAAGCCACCAGGTCTGGGACTTGAACCGTGGTCATCCATGTGAGAGTCCAGTGCCTTAACCACTACGCCACCTGCTGGCCCCCTCTTTTTCTACGTAACAGTGCATCTTGACTTAGATTCTGATGACCCAATATTTAGGCACTTAGTGATGACCCATAATTTCTTGTACATTTTGCCTTGCAAATCCTAATATGGTGACAACATTATCATTTGCATATGAAAAATAAGACTAGAGCTCTGAAAGGTTAGACCATCTGAGCAGTCAAAAAAACTGTTCACAGTACAGCCAGAATGGAACCTAGGTCTCCCAAGTTTTTGTTCCATTTCCTTGCTCTCTGTGAGACCCAAGTGCCTTATCGAAGACTACATAATGAGAATAGCATGCTTTTTCTTATTTGCTTGGAAGAGAGATTGGGAGTTAAACTACTTAATAATAGCATTTTTATGGTTAATTAAGCCACAGGATTGAGAAATTCAGCTTCACGAATTTCCATTGCTTTTTAATTTATAATAAAAGCTTTCTAGCTTATATTGTTTTCTGGTTAGAAAGCAATGGATGCTTATATTCAGAAAAAAGCAGTTGAAAAACTGCTTATCTGGGAAGGGCTTTGAAGGTGATTTAATCCTGTTTCTGTGATTGTATTGAACTTTTGTAGCAAAGTTAAGACAGGTAGCTCACTCCATTCTCCCTGTAAACAGACCCTGGGAAAACTAGTGAATTACAGAGCCTCAAAGTTCTATAGAGTAACTATTTTTGTGAATAGCTTTTGATTATTTCATATCAGTTTTATGTAGTTACCAACCTTTGACATCTAAAAGCCTTGTTTAGGGTTTGCTCTTTGATTTGGGCTCTCCTTTCTTTCCTTTCCTTGGACTTTGTAGATATTAGGTTCTGTTAGCCTTTGGAACACCAGGGAGCTCTAGTCCTGTGGATTTCTCGACTTTACAAGCATCTTGGAAGTAAATAGGGCCAGATAGACAGTCTAAAACAGAGGGTAAATAGGATAATTTCTTTCTCCTTTTTGGAAATAACTAAGTTTGTAAAGGCAGTATTCCTGTCATGATATTCAAGATGAGTGGTGATTTGAATAAAATGCTCACACACTTTTTTTTATTATTAATATATATGTCTTTCATGTGTCATATCCACATATATTGGTGGTGGGCTTCTTGGGAAACTACATAAAAATACTTTTATTGTAATTTTATTAGTAATTTAAAAATTATGTATATGAAATAGAATGCTCTGTATTGTTTATATATCCATCACCTGTAGAAAAGTACACATAATGTCTACATTGCCAAACATAATCTGGGCATCTAAGTATATGTTTAGTTGCTTTTACTTGCCTGAAATGAGAAAGGTAGTTAGAAAAGTTAAGAGCCATTGATTATAAGACAACAAAATAACAATTTGATATCTCTAAAGTTGTAATCTAAGTGAATGAGAATATTATTTGATTTTTTAGTCTTATGAATAGGACAGGTTTTGAGTCCTAATTATATTTTATAAAGAATGATATAACTGAACATTTAATTTTTTAAAGTTTTCTGTTTAATACTTTATATACTTGTTTTTTTGTTTTGTGTTGTTTTTTTTTGAGAGATTTTCACTGTAGGGCGCGTGCGCTCGCCAGACAAAGAGAGACATAGAGACAGAAAGCGAGAAATCACCCCCCAGGGGGGATGGCCACGCCGCAATCCCTTCTCCTCCATTCTCCTCGCGGGATCTTGGGCACACACGCACACGCGCCCGGCGTGAGTTTTAAGCCACCGGGTCCGGGACACGAACCGCGGTCGACTACGTGGGAATCCAGCGACATCGCCATTACGCTAACTGCTGGTTCCCAGTGTTGTTTTTAACTTTATTTATTTACTTATTTTAATTTGACCAGAGAAGGACAGAGCGAGGGGAGGAGTGAGAACACAAGCTGTCAGGTCTGGACTTGCACTGCGGTCTACCATGTGGGAGTCCAGAGCCCTTAACCACCATGCCAACTGCTGGGCCCTATTCTTGGTATTGATAGTAAAAGGAATTATCATGAGATCAGACTTTTACTAGATAAACATGAATCAAAAGTTAAATTTAATTGATCTGTGCACTAAGTAGAAATAATGTTTAGAGATCCCCAATATTTAGTTGGGAATGGCCTTTAGGATCTGTTTGGAGATATTACCACCCCTAATAACCCCCATTTATGAGAGAAATGTGTGCTCTTCAAGCTTCCTCCATTTTACCCATAGACTATTTGCTAGTTAGAGCTGAGAGTCCTTTGTAATCCTGTTTTTCTTTTTTTACCAACTGAGCTACTTTCCTTTGTCCTCCCATTCTTCTGTGTTGGCTACTTTAAGTCAGCTCACAGTCTCCTTGCAAACCTATTTTCTTGCATACACAGTTGATCGTCTAGCAGACACTTTTCAAATTAACATCAGAGCAGAAAGAATTAGTATAAACATGCTTATAGGTATATGCATCTGCCACATGATACTGTGTAATATTTTCTACAATATTTCTGTTATCAAGGAGCTGAATTGATACTGACCTAATGTGGAATGCCTCGGAGGATTTGAGATGGGGGGAAGGGGTAGATTTTCATGTGACATCTCTGACATGCTGCAGCAGGACCGAAAACACTCATCTGCTCACATAAGGAGGAAAGAAAAAAAATTTCCAGGATTGAGGTTGCAGAATTTGTGGGGTATTTTTCAGATTTTTTCCCCTTGTGCTTTTCTGTTTTTGATTTTACATAATTCAATAAGACTTGGAGGTGGGGGGGTCACCTTTGCATAATAAATAGATTAAGGTATGGAAGGAACGGGCTGCAACAGTGATTCATGTGGTAAAGGACTGGTTAAAATCTCCAGGACCCACATTGCAACCCATCTGACAAACGGTTAGTGAGTTCTTTGGCCATGTCAGGTATCTCTAAAAGTAATGGTATGCAAATAGCTTCATTCACTTGCTGTTTTTCTTCCATACGAATCATAACATTGTGCCTACATGCCCCAACAGTTGATCTTTGTTCACATTAAAAATCTTACTTCATAAAGGTGAGAAATAGAAATGAAGCCTGCAGAGTTGTCCCTTAAGTATCTCCTGTAGTTTAATTTTCTCACTTTTATGCTAGAGCTAAATGGAGCCTAAGCTTACATACATCTAGAATGGAGACTGAAAAACAGTCATGAAGCTCTAAGGAATAACTCTGCAATACTAGTTTGGAGGAATTCTTAAATTCTGTCCTCCCTTCTCCATGTTGCCTTCTTTTACTTTTCTCTTCATCCCAAAAATATATTGCTGCAGAATCCTATAGTTTTTTTCTCTCATTTTTGTAGGAAAGAAAGTAAAGAGAAGTGAGTGTGTGGTTTCAGTATAAATGGGCAGTTAATTTGTTGCATCAAAAGAAATAGCTTTATTTTGTAATTCTGGATCTGAGGTTACTTGGTATTCATTCATAGGAACCCAACTCTAGTAGAAGCATATAAAAATTTGGGTAATGATGTTTCAAAGTAAAAGTGGTTCCCAGCATGTTTAATTTGAACAGTAGAAGAAATAAATACTGCTTCAATTATTTTTTTTCTTTTACTTACTATACATTGTTTTATCTATTTAGTCAATCGAATTTGATATGTGGCCCTAAAATAGATTTTTAGAGCCAGTGTGGTATTTAATAGGGCAAATTGTGTATTTACAGTTTTATCCTTTTCCCCTGTTATCTCATTCTAAAAATGATGCATACCAGTGATTTAAGGGGAAATTAACACTTTAGTAAATATCTTTTTCCTTAATATTGTTGACCATTTCTATTAGCCATTTTCATTTAATTTGACAGTGATACTTAAGGGTTAAGCTTACAAAGCTGATGCAACTCCTCCTTTTCTTCACCAGCAGTTTTCATTGGGCAGTATTTCCATAGCAACAGTGAGATCAGTGAAACCTTAGCATTTCATTGATTATTTTTCTCCTCTTCCTTTTTTAATCTATTCTCTTTTCACCACATTTTAGTGAGAAAGCGATTTTTTTTTTTTACAAACAGAGCTTATATTGATTTCTATTCCATAAATAATTAAAAGAGGGTAGAAAAATCTGCCCTTCACTTAAAAATTGAATGTTTCACTATGTATTTAAAAAGCGATTCAGGATTAGGAGGATGGATAACCATACCAGCTGTAGCTGATGTTCTCAAATATTCTTGCATTGTTTGCTGGTCTTCTAGGGAAAAGAATAATGTGGAACAGGACCTTAAGGAGAAAGAAGATACTATCAAACAGAGGACAAGCGAGGTTCAAGTAAGTAAACTATATATTCAGCATTCCATTTCTTATTTAGGGTCATTATAAATATATAGGATTTTTTGCTATTTGATGGAGTGATATTAAGTCAAAGGAATACCTGATATTTATGTGCTTTAAATGTTTATCTTTTCCAAAATGGTTATTTTTGCTTTGAATTCTGGCCTGCAAAGATTATACTGCAGTGAGAAAGCAGTATTTTTGAGTGTAGATTTTCTAGTTTTTTAAATGGTACTTAGTTGCATATTATGTCGTGAAAGGTAAGTTTGAATGACTTGCAGTGTGAATATTAACACTAGTAAAATTAAGTGAGATCATGTCATCATCATCTTCATGAAAAACCAAATTGCTTTTTCATGCATGTGAAATTTCCTTAGCTGGAGATCATTTAGTATGTTAAAGGACTGTTTCTCATAACAGTAGTAGGGTAGGAGATGATACAGAACAATCTAAAATAGCATTTTATTAATAGCTTAGTAGCCAGGATATCTCAAACTTTGGCATAAAGAGGTTTAATTCATTTTCACTAAATGTTGTATTAAGTAGTTTTATTTTACAAATAGAAAAGATCATAAAACCTCAGCTTATTTGGGGGAAATTATACAAACGGGTGTTTCACATATTAAAAATACATAACATTGAGCAGTGTTTCATTTAGAGCAGTAAGCAGTGCATGTGGCCATGTTATTGGGGGACCGTTTCCTGAATGCTACACTTGCACATACAGGAGGTTGGATGTGGAAGCACTGGTTGCAATTGTTAGTAAGAGATCATGGATGGGCATTTCTTAATGCATTACTGGTATGTTGGATTTCCCTTTTTGTCCTAATAGTTTTGAGTAGGTGAAAGCTCTAAATGTTAGAGTCATTGTTTTGTTTTGACGTGAGATATTCTTTAGAGATTGTCTGTCTACTGGACTATGCTAGGGTGGGGAAGCTGATTTACTGAAGGGTTGAGAAGCCAGAGAGACTTCTTGTTGGAAGTAAGTTCTCTGAGAAATTATTTATTATATTTACTAGAATTTTCTTAAAGGGAATAGGAAGGTAAGGAGATAAACACTAATATATTTCTCTTTCTGGCAGTGAGATTGCATGGTGGTAGGAGGGTAACTCACCTGAATTACATTATTTTTGTGCAATTTTTGAGCTTCTTAAGAATAGTAAAAGAGTCACAGACTTAAGTAGTTATTGCTGAAAATATTTTAAGATGTTTAATAAGATAAAATAATAGATAAAATAATCTACAAAGGTTTTCTCAATCTGAAGAAATATAGTTACTAATGAATTCTAAATTGAGCTTCTAAATTTAGCCAGCTACTGTTTTAAAGTACGTAGGTCTTGTCATAGATGATATTTTGTTTGAAAATATCGACCTGTTGGTTTTTCCCTGCTGCATCTTTTGAGGATATAAATTTACATAGCCAGTTTAGAAGAGCCCTAAAATTTACATTATTCCTTTCAGGTCAAGTGGATTATCTTTGAATATTTGGTTTCTTAAAATTACAGGTTTTGTTGTCAGTGATTTCTCGGTGATTTGCTTATCCTTATTTTGAGGTGATAGGTTTATGTTTAACCTAATGAACATAATCATAACAGTTACCAACTTCTCACCAGTTATCAGTTACTCTGTGGGGCACTTTACTTGCATTGTCTCATATTATTCTTATGAGAAATCAAAAAAATACGTTTGGCACAGGAAGTTCAGATTATTGAATTTTTCTGCATAGGGTGCTATAAGTATAGGGTATCTTGGAGCATTATTAGGATAGACCAGGTAGTAATGAATTTAAATTAATGGAAAAAGATCACTGGAGTAATTAAAGCTCTGATTAGTAGATTCATTACTCATTCCACCCCAATACAGGTATCTCTGTATTATGCATTATAACGAGACACTAGTTTAGGAATGACATGCATAATCGACATGTACAGAAAATTAAAATTCTTCACTCTAGTCATCTTTTTCAGTTTTTTTGAAGCTCAAAACAGTGTACCAAAAGTGATAATAAGTAGAGTTTATTACCTATTGAGAAAATCCTGATTGGTAATAATAAATAAATAAATAATGATAAAATTCCATTGGTAATAAGGCACAGACTAGAAATAACCTGGATAATTAAATTTGTAACTCATTCCAATTCTTAGTACTTATTTTTAAGTTTCTCTATCAAGAGGAAATTTGTTAGAGGTATTAATAAATAACAGAATCAAAGAAAGTATACCTCACTGCATCTTTCTGACTCTGCTCTCTAATGGAGGTACTAATTAAGAAATGCCAAAATGAAGATGCTGGAGAAAAGAAGTAAGGGAATTGGGACCTACCATTGAGTATTTACTCCAAACTTGACTTTTCTGATTATTCTTGTATATCTCCATATTAGTAAATAGTGATTACATAAGCTCATATCTCAAGCATAGAAACCAAATTTTCAAAGCCAGAAAGGATTTAAGTGTTTTTTTGGTTTTGTTTTGTATTTCTATAGTCTCCGAAATTCAGTTAAAAGTTGAAGACCTACATATTTAATTCCTAAATGTTTTTTTTTTCCTGTCTGTATTCCAATGAACAACCATCTAAAAAACTTTCAGTTCAAGATTTTTTTCCAAGAAAGGAGTTCAAAATTTATTTTGTGAGATGATCACTGTTAGCCTGTATGAGATAAACTATTAGATTATCAAGTCCTGTGGAAAATTTAGGCCCTATATTATTCAATTCCAAGGGGAAACAATTGTATTGTGACAGGCCATTTTATCATAAATGTTTATGGTGTGGGTTGTTTTTTTTTTTTTAATTTTGGAGGAGAATGTAGACTCATTCTTTCCTACCTTAAACTGCCTATGTACAATCTTACTAAACTTTTCTGACTAGTCAACAAATATTTAGGGATTCACCTTCATATGTGTGCTTATAGAAAAATTAGGTTTATGGCAAAAGTTTAGTATCTTATAAACTTGAATTCAGTTCCTGGCTCTGCCATTTTCTAGGTTTGTGATCCTAAGTTAGTAATTTAGTTTTTTCTTCTGTAACGTGGGATAATGAAAACACCAAACAGTTGGGAGTCGATAGAATAATAATACGAGGTAAGGCAAGTAAAGTGCCTCACAGAGTGACTGAAACCCAGTAAGTATCGGTTGTCAAAAAGTCTTGACTTATTTTTTCTGTGTAGAAATGCATCATGACTTTTCTGACAACCCAATATTCAGTAAATGTTGTGATTAGTTTGATTATTCTACACCCTTTAGTCATCTCTTTTTATATACCTCTGTTCATCTTCAAGCACTTTCATATCTGACTTCTGTTTTTTACCTAAGACTCTCTGCCCATAAGAATCCCCATTTTGAAAATGTGTTTTACAAAGAGAGAGAGAGTGTTTGTGTGAGTGAGCGAGTGACGGGGGGTGTTTATTGCTTCCACTTGAGCTGCCAACCTACTTTTCTCTTTCATTGCTTTGTGTGACCATTTCCCCGCTTCCTGTCCTTTCTGTTTTTCTCCCCAGGGCCAGCAATAATCTTAAGGCCAAACTGTTGGTCCTCCCTGTATTATTTACTGCCTTCTTAGGTTGTACTCACCTAGATATTTTCCCACCTCTCTGACTCTTTGGTTCTGTTGCCTTTGCCAGGGACAGATGGACAGATTGTGTGTCTTTCGTCTCCCCTTCTTTCCTTCCTTCTCCATACTTCCTGTCATCGTAAGCTCATGACTCCCAAATGTTTATTAAGCTCTTACCTCTCTTGTGTTCTAGCCCCACATCTCAAGTTAACCATTTCGGTGCTTGTCATTTCAGAGTCAATATGTCTAAAATGCTCTTGTTGAAAAAAAATGGCATCAAGATTGAACTTTCCTATTTTTATCAGTGTTTTTCTTTTTTCGCTACTGCCACCCTTATCACCTAACATCTAAAATGTAAAATCAGGTCATAAGTGCTTACCCCATCCTCTCTCTCTCTTGCTTTTATTTCTAAATTAATTTTAGTATCATGACTTTCATATGTGAAAATCTTTACATCTGCTCGCTGCTACTGTTAATTACAGAAAAACATTATACCTTGCAGATATATTAGGGATAGGAAAAAAAAAAAGAAATACAAATCCTCCTCTCTTAAAGTGTTTTCATATTGCCTAACACTGAACTGTGTGCCATATACATATTTTCTTTGTCTTATTCTCACTCCATTTGTTGTTGTGATCTAGAATGTTCCCTACCTCCCTGCTTATATAAATCCACTCACAAAAATTCTACTATTTCTTTCTAACTTTCTCCCTCTTTGTCTCTTTCACCTACACCACTCTTCTGTGTTGGAACTCCCAGAGGAATATGTGTCCACTTACATGGTATATACTGTATGTTACCTTATAGTGCTTGCTAGTTTGGCATTAGTGTGTGTATAGGTAGATTTCAGTCTTTTAACCCATATTGTGAGCTCCTTGAACTTAGAAATTGTGCCTTGGATCCTATCTTCCACTGTATTTGATAGCATATTGCTAGATAGAGGTAAATTTAGGGAAACTGTTCAAAATAGAAATGAATAAACTTTGATTTTGTGCATAAAATTAAAAATAGGATAAGACACACATAGAAATGACAGCAGAAAGGATTGGAAACGCAGAGATATCACAAGGAGCCAGACTTTTTCCTCTCATTCATACTACCCTCATGCAACTGAAGCTCCTGTTTATTTGTATTTCACCCCTAAAGACTCAGTAATTCAGAAATTGTCCATTTTGGTTTTTTGTTTTAATTCTCCTAGCTGGTTTTCTTAGATAAAGAAGAATTACTTAGGTTAGTTGGAAATAAAACTAGATACATGAACTCAACGTTCTTTTCCTAGTCATAATGCTCTTTAGAACACATTGGGAAGCATATGATTGGGAAATAAAGGCAGGCTGTTAGTGGGATTTTCTGATACCACTCTAGTTTAACAGGCTCCTTTTGTTCTTTGACTTAAACATCTTGCACTTTGGTGAATACTTTTTTAAATATTAAGAATAATTCTAGGGCTG